CTTTGTGCAGGTCTGATCTGCAAACTACAGGAAACGTTTAGTTGATGTTATTGCTGCCCAAAGGAGGGTCAACCAGTTATTAAGTCCAAAGGTTCACATACTTTTTCCTCCCTGCACTGTGAATGTTTACCATGTTATGTGCAATTTAAACCATGACAACGTCTAATGTTTTGAGTGTAGTAGTTATGTTCAGCAGACTGTGTTCTTCTATTGTTGTGACTTAGATGACGTTCAGAGCACATTTTATTCCCAATTCATCGCAAAACTCCACACATAATCCCAAGGGGTTCACACATACTTTTTCTTGCAACTGTATGTCAGGTATTCTATTTCCTCTGGGGTTAGGAACCTTTCTTATAACATGTCTTTTTACAGACCCCATGGTGCCGGGGAAGCGTCTATGTGCTCTTCCAAATTGAGAGACTGTCCCCACACTGCTATGCTTTGGTGGATGACTCTTCCAGTCCTTTGACCTTGTGTCTGGGTTATTTGGTGTTTTACAACTGTTTTATGCTGCATATCATTGTTTTACCACTTGAATGACGATATGCCATTTTCTGGGCTCGGTGTCTTTGGTCCTCTCCCCTATTTTCTTCCTTTTTTTTTCCTCACTTTTTTAAATTGTTTTTCTTTGAGGGTCATCTCGGGAATTTTTTTTTGGTCCTGGATTCTCGATCTCCACCTATGGGGGGATGTGTGGGTCTCCCCATCGCTGTCTTGCATTTTTCTATGTCCACCTTAAAACCTAATAGTGGCGTTGTTCCCTTACTCTCCGATAGTGTGCAGGTTTGGGATTCCCCTCTAAGCTAACTCTAAGGTTTTTTGCTCATTATCTTCGCTGACTCTTCTCCCACCTTCAACACTCTACTCTCACCACCCCCACCGCCTCCCCAGCACCTCACTCACCGCCCTTGAGATTGCCAATCACTTCAAAAAGAAGATTGACACAATTCGCAAGGACATCACCACAACTCCCACACATCCCTCTCAACCCGTCCCCTCCTCACACACAGCTACCCCCTCATCCCCCCTCTCCCTCGACATAACCTGCAGGGACTTCATCACTGCTCAAAACTCCCTCCAACCGCCGTTCCCCCTCACTCAGCTACCCCCTTCATCACCCCTCTCCCATGGCCCCACCCCACCCACTGCTCTGACCTCCACTTCCACCCCACCCTGCATTCCTCATACTGAAGCCCCCCCCCCTTGCCACTTCCACACCTTTGACCTTACTAACATCGAAGGAAGTCTCCAAGATCCTCTCTGATGGCCCGCCTCACCACCTGCCCCCGTCGACCCTATCCCCTCACAACTGCTACGACCTCCCTCCCCCTCCATCCTACGCTCCCTCACCCACATCTTTAATCTCTCCCTCTCCTCAGGCACTTTCCCCTCCCCTCTGAAACATGCACACATCACCCCCATACTTAAAAAGCCCCTCCCTGGACCCCAATGACCTGAACAACCTCAGACCCAGCTCCCTGCTCCCATTTACATCCAAACTCTCCTCGAGCGCCTAGTCTACACCCGCCTAAGCTCTCACCTCAACGACATACCACCTCCTCGATCCCCTTAGAGTCCGGCTTCCGTCCCCTACACTCCAACCGAAACCTGCCTTACTCAAACTCTCCAACGACCTGCTAACCGCCAAAGCTAATGGCTCACTATTCAGTGCTCCTACTCCTTGACCTCTCTGCGGCCTTCCACACAGTCCCACCACACAAACAACTCCACCACCCCCCCCTCCATCCTCCTCAAAAAACTGACACTCCCTCGGCCTCAGAGATTCTGCTCTCCTCTCTGGCTCTCATCCTACCTGTCACATCGCTCTTTCAGCGATTACCATATAAATGCTACCACTCCCCCTCACTCCCCCTCTCTGTTGGAGGTCCCTCAAGGCTCTGTCCTCGGGCCCCTTCTCCTTCTCCATCTACACCTCCTCCCTTGGCCCAACTCATACACTCTCATAGGCTTCAACTAATCCACCCTCTATGCCGACGACACACAAATCTATCTCTCAACCCCCCCACCTCACCTCCTCAGTCTCCGCCCGAATCACACACCTACTGAGCGAATTTTCAGACTGGATGTCGCTCCACTTCCTTAAACTGAACCTCTCCAAAACCGAGTTTTCTTGTCTTCCCCCCCCCCAGCCTGGACCCCACCCCCCATTGACTTCTCCATCACATCCAACAATGCCAATATCAAACCCCGCCCCGCAGGCCCAGAGTACTTGGTGTCATTCTGGACTCCAACCTTATCCTTCCAGCCCCAAGTCCAATCATTAACAAACTCATGCAGACTCCACCTCCGCAACATTGCCAAGTATACGTGCAACGTTCCTAACCCAGAAACACATTCACTAAACAGCTCACACTCCCCCATAGGTCATATCACGACTCGACTACTGCAACTCCCTCCTCACTGGGCCTGACCTCGCCGCTGGCTATCCCCGCTTCAGTCCATCCTGATTACGGCTGCCAGACTCATTCACCTTTCCAACCACTCCATCTCCGCCACCCCCCTCTGCCAATCCCTCCACTGGCTTCTGATTGCGCAACGGATCAAATTCAAAATCCTAATACACTGACGTACAAAGCTGTCCACCATACTGCCCCAAACTACATCACTGACCTACATATCCAAGTACCACCCAACACGCACACTCCGCTCCTCACAAGACCTCCTCTCTAGTTCCCTGATAACCAGTCAATTGTCAGAGGAGGTGATCAGCAGCGATCCATCAGGGCACTGATGATACATGTGACCTGATGATCAGTGTCAAGCAGTAGCCAGTCACCTTTGCCTGCAGTTCTGCCCACAAGTGCCCAGCAGTGCCCCCACCTGTAGCAAAAACACCTGCGCATCATTGCCGCCCACGCATTGCCACCCATCAGTGCCACAGCAGTGCTCAGCCAGTTTCGTCAGTCAGTGCCACCCCCGCACCCAGTGCCACCTCAGTGCCTATGAGTGCTGCCTATCAGTGCCCAACCATTGTTGCATTATCAGTGCATCATCATCAGTGCTGCCTATAAGTGCTGCTATCTGTGCCACCTCATCAGTGACCCATCAGTGCTGTCCATCAGTGCTGCCTATCATTGCTGCACATCAGTGCTGCCTATCAGTGCAGTTCAGAAGCACACACATCAGTGAAGAGAGAAAAATTAACTGTTTGCAAAAAATTTATAATAGAAAAAAAAAAAAACTTGTTTTTTCAAAATTTTTTCAAAAATTTTTGTTTATAGCTCAAAAAATAAAAACCCCCAGCGTGAGTAAATACCATCAAAAGAAAAACTCTATTCGTTTGAAAAAAAATGGTAGAAGTTTAATATGGGGGACAGTGTTGGCATGACCGCACAATTGTCATTCAAAATGTGACAATTGCTTGAAATGCTGAAAATTGGCCTGGTCAGGAAGGGGATAGAACTGCCCGGTAGGCGAGGGGTTAAGTGTCCTTACTTCTATGCTGTTAGCAGCAGCGAGAATCACTATTGCTGAATATTAGAAGAGATCAATTATTCCGCTTCAATATGTTCACAACAAATGAGATTGGATCCTGATTAACGACAGACTCACCTGTGTTTTACATCATAATACCAACATGTGTGATGTAAAAACGTGTGGATCCGTGGAGTCCATACATCTCCGTGCCCTAGTACTTCCTGATTTAGCTCTCCTCTCTTCTCCTTCCCTCCCCCTCTCCTCCCCACCCGCTTCCCTCTTCTCTTCTCTCCTCTTCCCTCCCCACTACCCCTCATCCTCTCCCCTGCCACTCCCCTCTCTCCTCCTCCGACCTTCCCTCTCCCCATCTCCCCTCGTCCTCTCTCGAATCTCACTCTCCCCTGCCCTCCCCTCACGCTCCGACTCTTCCCTCACCTCTCCCCTCCAGGCACACCTCTGGTTGAACATCCCTCCTCACACCAGTCCCTCACCTCTCCCCTCCCCCCCCTCTCCCCTCCCCTCACCACACCCTCTCCCCCTCTCCTCCTCCGACTCACTTCACCTCTCCCCTCCCCTCCCATCCCTTCCCCTCCCCTCCCCCTCTCCTCTGCCTCTCCTCTCCCCTCCCCTCCCCTCTCCCCTCTCCTCTCCCCTCCCTTCACCTCCCCTCTCCTCTCCTCTCCACTTCCCTCTCCCCTCCCCTCTACTCCCTCTCTTCTCCTCCCACACCTCCCCTCTACTCTCCTCCTCCTCTCCTCCCCTTTTCCCACCCCCTTCTCTCCTCTTCTCTCCGTTCTCCTCTCACCGGCCCTGCCCTCACCCTCTCGCCTCCTCTCTCCTCCCCTCCCCTCTCCCTTCTCCTCTCCCCCCTCCCCTCCCCCCTACCCCCTCTCCTCCTCCTCCCTCTCCTCCTCCTCCTTCCCTCTCTCCTCCTCCTCTCCTCTCCACCTCCTCCCCTCCCCTCCTCTCTTCTCTTCTCTTCTCTCCTCTCATTACTGTTACCCTCTTTTCTTCCTTTCTGCTGTCTCTTTTATTTTCCCATGTTCTGGTGCTAGTGTAGTTCCATGTTGTATGTGTTGTGCACTATGTGTGGTGTGTATGATGAATGCTCTGTGTGATCCATATGTCTCCTATTATTGCTTCCCCTGTACAAGGTGGACTTAATGCTGGGAATGTTCTATGTGACGTCTCCAGTCATTATTGCACACATTTCCTGCTTCCCTGCGGGATGTCTGTTGTTTATTCATCCGCCTGTTTGTTGGGGAGATTTCATAACTTATTTTATAACCAGAACACTTGTCTATTATATTTTCTGTAACTTGAAAAATTTAGAAAATTTTTTTTCGGAAAATAGTTGGTTGCAAAAGAGCTAGATTTATTTTTTCTCAGTTTTTCTTAGATATTTTTGATCTTTCATGGAAACCACAGGAACGGTTATTTTAATGTTTCTCGGGGCTGCAGTTCCTCTGAACTCCACAAGGTGGTGATCTCACTTCTACCAGAAAGGAAGTTATTGTAGAACAGAGGCAGGAAGTGATGTCAGGTACAGACAGGAAGTGATGTCAGGCACAGACAGGAAGTGATGTCAGGTAAAAGACAGGAAGTCATCTGCAATAAAGACAAGAAGTTCCGTACCATACGAAGCAGCGAGGAGACAGTGGTCGAAGTAGCAGCAGCAGAGGATTTACAATAAGATGTTATTTTCTATTTACACCATAGTAAATCCCCCCCCATCATGTCCATCCTCTTCCTCCATAGTCACGTCCTCCATCCCTCTTCCTCCATAGTCATGTCGTCCTCTTCCTCATCATAGTCATGTCTGTCCTCTTTCCTCCATAGTCATCCATAGTCCATGTCCCTCTTCCTCCATAGTCACTGTGACGTCTTTTATCTCCAGCAGATGATGATACACACATATATAGTGTGGGAACCCAGATGAACCCCTTCAGGGGCAGAACATTCCCCCACTTCCGGGGCCGGAACATTCTCCTCATTGTGGAGATAAATTCTAGTAATATGGTCCTCTAAACAAACAGCACTGACAATAAATAGACAAGACAAAGGACCATCCTGACCATACATGGCCTACAAAGGGCAATGATGACACTACACAGGCAGCCAATGGGCAATCATTACACTATGCAGCCAACACAATGATGGAGTGCCGGGGTCAGGAGTATGGAGCATAGAGCCCCTTACATTGCTGCTCAGGAGGAAGGAAACATTCCCCAGCCGGCCATGAAGAATATGTTCCATCATTGGTGTCAGAGGGAGGGAAATACTGAGGGGTCTGAGGGAATAGAGGAGCTGAGGGGTCTCTCAGGGGTTACTGAGGATGAGGGACTTTAGGTCCCCTAAGGGGTAGTGGAGCTCAAGGGTTTGAGGGGGTAGAGAGTAGCTGAAGGAATCTGGTAGGATAGGGTTGGCGGGGAGCAGGGCTCTGAGGGAAAGAGAAGGTTGTAGAGCTCAGGGGACTCTGAGGTAGGGAGGGGGCTCTTGGTCTCTGATTGTCCTCTTACCTGCACTTACTTTCCAGACCTTCTTACAGAACTCCTACCAGGAAAGGAAGACAACCTTCACCTTCTTACCATCTCACTGGTCAAATAATGTATTCCACGATACCAAGTGGAATGAAGGACAGTCCTTCACCCCTTGGTGGGAACTTATTCTTAGAGGAGGATTGTTGGTGTATTATCGACTAAAAGGTAGTCAGGGGTCAGTGCTGAACATCTTCTGGAGACATTCCAATTCCTTCCCATGACACAGGCTCTGGCAGTGCCAGGTGCTGGAATTCAGAGCCCCAGGAACCCACCACCACTCTGTAAAATGTCCTGGATGCTACAGTATACTTGGTAACCAAACCTGTCCCCCTCCTGTCCTCCTTCTACCCATACTAGGCTGTCATTGGAGGGAAGAGAACAGGCTCCTCCCCCACAGCTCTCTACTCCACCAGCAACATCCTCCTGCTATCCCATCCAAGCTCTTCTTTTACTGCAGAGAGTGACAGTGACATCACTCCTGTCAGTCAGCAGGCTGCCAGAGATTGGAGCCTTGCAGCCGGAGTTCTGCCAATTATCCTGATTTTCCAGCAAACTTAGGCCAAAAGTCAGTAAGTTCCCCTTCCTGGACATCATGATGAGCTGACATTGACCTCACAGCACTGCCTCAGAGCAAACAGGTCATAGGAAGGATCATATTTATCATTCCTTGTCTGCAGATCTAAAACTCATCAAAACCAGTTCAGAGACCAAACAAACCCAACAGAGAAAAGGGGATTTCTGATCTGGCAGGACAAGAGGGTCCCGGGACCTCAAATATGCATCAAACACTAAACAGTCCAAACTAAATATCTTCCCATGGGGGGAGTAGTTCTTCACTGTCCAGCAACCCTCCTATTCCCCCCTCACATCCACATCCTATTATTGTGTGACCAATACCATCCAAATCATTCTTACTTTCATTTCCCAAAGTTATCCGTCTACAAGGAGACCTGTATAGATCACATGATGGCACCAATGAGGATGGAGGAGGACCGGAGTCACATGACTGAGAAGATACTAAACCTCACCCTGGAGATCATCTACCTGCTGACCGGAGAGGTGAGGAGGATTCTGGGAGGTCACATGACATCACTCTTATCTCTATTAATAAAACACAGACCTGACCGGAGAGGTGAGGAGGATTCTGGGAGTCTAACATGATATTCCTATTGGTTCCACAATATAGAGAGTTCCTCTTCTGAAGTCAGGTGATCATATGACCATCACAGAGCCTCCATGTGACTCCCTAAACCCTGAGAGACACAACATGCAGAAGATTCTAGAAGTCACCAAGAAGATGATGGAGCTGCTGACAGGAGAGGTGAGCGGTGCCGGGAATTCTGGGACATTCTCCAGTAACAGACAAGGGATGTGTCTGGATGGTGACTGTATCATTGTGTGTGTCAGGTTCCTATAAGGTGTCAGGGTGTCACTGTCTATTTCTCCATGGAGGAGTGGGAGTATTTAGAAGGACACAAGGATCTCTACAAGGACGTCATGATGGACAATCAGCCGCCCCTCACATCACCGGGTAAGAGGAGACTTTATTGTAAAGGAGAGAGCAGTACGGAGGATCCACCTAGATCCCCCATCATCTGATAAACACATAGAAACAATGGATTCAGTCAGTGTGTGTGTTTCCTACAGATGGATCCAGTCATGGGAACCCACCAGAGAGATGTCCCCGTCCTCTGTATTCCCGGGATTCCACACAGGAAGGTCACACCATCCTCACTATTACAAGGTGGGTGGGATGGAGCATCTAGAACATGGACTTGTGGAGACAATGTGTGGAGTTTTTTTTATGTGACCTTATATTTTACAGATGATATTTTCTCTCATTTCCTTGATTTAGAGTGGAGATCCAATCGATATAGAATTTGAGGTGAAAGCAGAAGAAGAAGAGGCGTATGTGAGGGATGATCAGCAGTCTATGGAGGAGGATGGAATAACGGGGACATTTATAGAGGAGGACACTCCTACAGAGATCAGCACAGGTGGGTCATGAACACTAAATCCATTCCTCCACCCATACTGCTCACTGATTGGTCCAGAGTAGGGCGGGGACTGGGTGATATCAGCCTGTAATACCCTGGTCACTTTCCTGAGCTGTGTTTCCCATCCTGCCTGTTGTGGGCGGAGTCCTGGTTTGGGGGAACCAATCAGCTCCTGTCTAGTAATCCTCTTTGTCTTTGTATTTTAGTCCATGGCCGGGAGATGAGGAAAACCTCCGAGGATTGTCTCACACTTTGTCTCCAGACTGGAAAGTAGAAGATGAGGACATCACACAGTATAGTCCAGGAGAAAACCCGGCTCCCTCCAATGTCCATCCGGCACCACCCAGTGTAGATGGACCATCGGATTCTTCGTATCCTGAGGAACCTCAGACTGTGCGGGACTGGGCCGGCCTTCCAACAGGGAAGAGCTTCTCCTGTAATGAGTGCGGGAAAGGTTTCCATTATAAATACCATCTTAATGTGCATAAAAGATCTCACACTTAGAAGCTGTTTTCCTGTCCTGAGTGCGGGAAATGTTTTTCTAATAAAGTCCCATCTTTACACACATCAAAGATGTCTCACACAGGGGGAGAAGCATTTTCCTGTCCTGACTGTGGGAAATGTTTTCCTCAAAAGTCCAATCTTTACAGACATCAGAGATGTCACACACAGGGGAGAAGCCGTATTCCTGTCCTGAGTGCGGGAAATATTTTTTCACAGAAGTCTAATCTTTACACACATCAGACATCTCACACGGGGGAGAAGCTCTATTCTTGTCCTGAGTGTGGGAAATGTTTTTCACGGAAGTCCGATCTTTACATACATCAGACATCTCACACGGGGGAAAAGCCGTATTCCTGTCCTGAGTGCGGGAAATGTTTTTCACGGAAGTGCAATCTTTACACACATCAGAGATCTCACACGGGGGAGAAGCCGTATTCCTGTCCTGAGTGCGGGAAATGTTTTTCACAGAAGTCCGTTCTTTACACACATCAGAGATCTCACACGGGGGAGAAGCCGTATTCCTGTCCCGAGTGCCGGAAATGTTTTTCACGGAAGTCCAATCTTTACACACACCAGAGATCTCACACACGGGAGAAGCCATATTCCTGTCCTGAGTGCGGGAAATGTTTTTCACAGAAATCCCATCTTATTGCACATCAGAGATGCCACACGGGGGAGAAGCCCGCATTCCTGTCCTGAGTGCGGGAAATGTTTTTCAACGAAGTCCAATCTTTACAGACATCAGCGATCTCACACAGGGAAGAAGCCACTTTCCTGTCCTGAGTGAGGGAAATGTTCCTCACTGAAGTCCTGTCTTCCCATACACAGGGGTCCCACACAACCCTGGAGGTGTATTAGTGCCTTGAGTGCGGGAAATGTCTTCTAGATGAATGTTGCTGGACATCCCAGGTCTCATGTGGGGAAGAAGCACCCCCTGATATACACCTCAGATATACTCCATGGCTGATCTTCATCATGGAAGAAACAGTTGATAAGGAGATGAGAGGCCCCCAAAGACATGGATGAAGTGCAGTAAATGTCGGGGTGCAGAGTGGTCAGTAGATCCTGGAAATGAAGGACACAACTTCAGCCCTTCTTGGGTGTCGGAGTTGCGTTTCCTGATAATGATATAGCGGGTTACAGAGCTAGAAGCCGGGAGAGCCCAGATCTCGTTATCGGGGAACTTTACACAGACAACAAGAACTTCTGAAGTTGATGTCCTTCATTTCAAGGCTCTACAGAACAGTGGTGACCCCGAAGCTCTCTGTCTTCAGTCCATCCTTCTCCCATCCCCCAACAGGAGGGAAGGAGAACTCCGCCCCAAACTAGGGGGGAACTTTCCTCTCATTATTTCCCTTGGCTTCTGTGTGGGTTTGGGTGGTTGGAGGAGTGCGGCACGAGAGGGAACACAGCTTGTTGTTCTATGTCTACATATGGGGTCTGGGTAGAGGGGATCCACCGGAAAATATTTCTACTCTTTGATTTTGTGCAAATCGTTTCTGTTTTCACTTTGAAGGGGGATATTATGTGTGGTTTGTAAAAGGGATTGGCCCAATAGATACCACCCCACTTAGAGAATAGATGAAGTAATATGACCAGCATTCATTCAGCCATGTCACATGTTGGTCTTTTCATACAGTGATTTCCTATGATCATTGGCTCCATCTAGTGGCCATAATGCGGTATTGAACTGTTTTTTCCTGACTGAGGTATTTTGGAAGTAATACATCATTATGGCCCCTAGAGGGAGCTGACGATTATAGGAAATAGCTGAGTTTATTAAAATATGGCCAGAATTTGTCAAGGCTGGACACATGCTTGTCACACTCCCCAACATATTTTTTGCATAGACCCCTTAGTTTACTGTGTCAGGGGGTTTCATTTCCTGAGTACATTTTCAGACATTGAAGACATAAATTACATAAAACCACAGAATTAAACTATCCATTGATTTTAAACCAAAAATACCTCAATTGGCCTTTAGATGACGCTAAGTATCCTAGCAATTAGCACCATCTAGTGTCCAAATTGTCAGGGAACACCCGAACAATTGATTTAGTCAGCCAAATCAATCAAATCACAGTATCTCCAATACAAAAAAATTATTTATAAAAAATAATTTAACTGACTTAATTATTCTGAAAAATTCTTTAAGAACTCAAAGATCTGTGTAGGTATAGACTGCAGAGTATGAAAATCAATATTTATTTACATAAGTCACTTACAAACACCATAAATAATAGTCAGATTGTGATTTACACTGACACTAAGATGTTTCTGTAAAAGCTCTAAAATAGAGTGAATTAAATTCAATAATCAGTCTCCCTGTAAACAACATAACCAATGAAAAACAGACAATAATCTGTCTCCTGCAGAAGGAATAAACTATGCAGAA